TTGGAAGTGCCATCATCGTTTCCTTGTACAATTTAAAATTCTTTTTTCGCCGCACGTGTCATTTCCTTCATCCGTAATCTTCTAATGGACACTATTTGCTCCGCTAAATTTTGCTCTGCAGTGTGAATTTTCATTTCGCGCAGTCCGAATGCGTTGGGATTCGTTCTCACTTATTGAATTTTCGGTCAGTGCTGCCCAACTGCATTGCTACTCTCTCCGCATTCTAGTTATGCGTTTTATGCTGTGTAACAGCAGTACAAAACGCATATTGTGTGTCCCACATTTTGTCCCGCACTTTCAGCTCGGGGACCACAAAAGCTAGGCAGCTAAAATTTTAGTGTAGTGTTCCCCGTCAACGGGTGACGCGGCAAATTTAAGTTTAGCCTTCCCGTACTCGCAGTTAACACGTACGGCCCCGTAAAAGTTTTTCAGATAAAATCAGTATCTCAGGAACCACGGAAGCTAGAAGGTTGAAATTTTGTGAGCATGTCCTCCGCCCATGTAATACCCAGAAAATTTAAATTTTCATGGGGCCGTACTTGTTACCCGTAGGCAGGGGCCCCGTGAAAATTTTTGACGGGTAAATTATTATCTCGGGAACCACGAGGTCTAGGAACCTGAAATTTTAGGGTAATGACCCCCCTGCCCACGCTTAACCTTGCCCATTCAAATTCAGCGTTTCCGCTCTCTCTGGTATCATTTACGGGCTAGCGTAAGTTTTTACGGGTAATTTATTGTCTCGGGAACCACAAAGTCTGCAAAGCCCAACTTTGCCTATTCAAATTCAGATTTCGCGCGCTGTCGGGTGTCACCTGCGGTCTCGTGAAAATTTTGGCGAGTAAATTATTAACTCGGGAATCACGGAAAAATAGTCACCCTTCAGTGTTTCGAATTCAGCTTTCATGCGCATGTGCATTTTTGAGATATTTTTCAATGCTTCAACTGTTTTTGCATAGACTAAAGTACGAAGCAGTGAAAATCATTAATAGGCAATTGTTCAATGGGCTGAGTTGCATAAAACGCATGATCGCACCAGCTAGTCTGGTGCGCGTTGCTATTTATTTGTAATTCTTCCGAAAATTATTGCTTTATTGCGCTCTTTTCTCTTGCGCTTTTTTGTGTATTTAGATATTTCTTTCCATGATAACGCATTGCTTCGTTATCAGCTTCTCTCTCAGTCTGTATTCCTGAGGTTGCTGTTTGCCTACTGGTATTTTGTACAGCAGTGGATGTGTAGTTACAAGTGAAATAATCGACGTAATGTTAATAGATATCTTTAGATTTTTTTAATTTTCCGTTATGGTTTAGCTTTAGTTTCTCGCTGAATTCTGCTGAATTAAAACATGTATAATGGAGCGTGGCTGCACATAGTAATTCAGCTCTTTACTGCGTCGAATCACTACGATTGCTGGGCTGGCCAGGTATACTGTGTTGTCCCAGATAATTTTTCTTTACATCTTCCTAATACCTATTTTTAGAAATTGAATTTTTTTTTGGTTACGCAGATGTTCCTATTAACTGGTTATTGTTACTGAGGCCAAAAAGTCTATCGATAGATAAACACTTACTGACGTTATTATGGTATAACCGTGCACCGTGATATCGTCATATGTGCTGTATGTTCTAAACTGCAAATTGTTCCAACAACAGAAATAAATTACTGACATAAAGCTTGCTTGTTCAGAGCATTCAAAAATTTCCAAACAATCACGATGTTATTAAAAATTCCAAACGTTCGTTTTGCACACGGGGCAAAAAGAAGTTAAAGACGAAACAAAAGATTTTGACGCTGGTGTACAAATCAAAAAAATAGTAAAGTAATGAACATTTCTATCAGCAAACGCCCCTTGAATAGAACTGCACAAAACGCATAATCGCACCGGCTACTCTGGTGCACGCTGTTATTTATCTGAAATTATTGCTCGACGTTTTCGATCGGATCTATGAGAGATTCCGCGTTAATTCGCCATACCGAAGACGACAACGTGCAGATGAACAATGATGAAAACAGAAGAGCGAAGGCGGGTTGTGACGGGAAAAAGGTCACTTTGGATGTCTCCCTGTGACTCTGTGTGCATTCAAATGCCTTGCTGGTTGAACAGCATAGAGATGTTGTTGCTGTTCCGAGAGGAAGTTAAAATTGTTGAAGAAGTTGTTAAAATTGTTAAAAACTGTTAGAACCGTTGAACTGTTAGAGGAAGTTAAAACTGGAGGACAGCTTCGTTTTGTTGGCACGGGATGTCGCAAAACAGTGGTAAGTATCCGTGGTGCAGAAAACGAGTACTTATATAATCTTTAAAACGGAACTAAAGTCAATAGCGGAGGGCTGGGAAGCTTGACTTAGTTTAGTCCTGAACTATACTAGTAGTATTTCATTAACACCGAAAGCTCTTCAGTGACAGCCCAGAGTGATCTTTGGTGATGCGTTAGGTTCGCTGTTTCAGAGCAATCAATCCTGATGTAGAATTTGAAACTTACAATATGAATATCACCACTGTGGACAACTATCCGGTCTTCGTCGATCGTATAAGGTATTCGCCTTTCTGTTCATTAGTGGGCTTGTCATTCCCTGAATTGTTATTGAGCCCTTAGAAAGCTTCAAAAGAACCTTCGCAAGTGCAGGTAACTCTAGTCTTCTAGTTACACGCTTCAGTTAATTTAGTAATTCAGTTATAGCAGTTACTTTTCAGTTTGGAGCTAATTTTACCCTATTTTTTTATTTTTTCTTTAGTCCCTTCTGAGAATGTTCTTAATTACATTATCATTCTTACATCTTGAATATTCTCTCATTTCATATATGCATAAACTCACTGCGCTTACAGAAGAGGAAGTCTTAGTGGTGATCAAGTTGATCTTGTTCTGAGCTGTGTGGATAATTTCGAAGCGAGAATGACGATTAACACGGTAAGAGATACCGTATATTTCAAAAATTAATACAGCGACTTGGATTCATTTCTTCCTTTGAATGTGATGCTTAGTTATATTGTTTCTGGGTATGCTTGCAGGCTTGTAATGAGGAAAATCAGATATGGATGGAATCGGGTGTTAGTGAGAATGCCGTATCCGGCCATGTACAATTTATCCATCCCGGACGCACCGCTTGCTTTGCAGTAACACTTCTTTAACACCATCAAAAACTTTAACGCTCAAATTACTTTGAATTTTTTTTGAAATTTATTCATCCTGCCTCACAAAGTTAGTAAAGATTCTTGAGTTTGCGTCATTTAAATCTGGACTTTTTCGCGAAACAAATGTTAAACCGTTGTACAAATAAGTAATCTTTTGTTTTTGTCACAATGAAAAAGCCTGGTGTAGGAGCGTTGTAACCATTGTGGAATCCCCACACCGATTATCAGAATTCAGCAGAAACCTATAAAAATTTGAGATTGGTAAAAAAGCTCACAAAAAAAAGCCCACGTCATCACTAATCACTTACATATTCCAACTATGACATGTGTGCCTTTGCAGTGTGTACCTCCGTTGGTTGTTGCCTCAAATATCAGCGAACGAACTCTGAAACGCGAGGGAGTGTGCGCCGCATCGCTGCCAACAACGATGGCCGTTATTGCGGGCTTCTTAGTACAGAATGCTTTAAAGTACATTGCCTCAATAGTTCTTACATCTAGTAAAACGTTAGCTTTTCGTCAGTGTGAGCTTTTTTACCAGTTTCAAATTAATTTTTATAGGTTTCTGCTGAATTTTGGTGAAGTCTCTTACTGCCTCGGCTACAATGCTTTGGATGATTTCTTCCCTCGGCATCAGTTGCTGCCGAATCCCAGCTGTGAAGATCGTTTCTGTCAGCAAAGGCAACAAGAATATAAGGTTCGACTAAATTTTCGATGAAATCAGTGAAAATTGCTACCCTTTAT